TCGCGTGCGCAGATAAATATATGCTCGCCTCACAGAAAATCCCCATGGCGACAGCTTTTCTAGAGGTTTCTTCTGCAACCATGCGGTTTTATACCAGCTTTTAAGAAGTGAAATTCACTCAAAAAACGGTAGCAAAAGGCGCGATAGTAATTTCCACTAGCTCATGGCAAATTTTGAAATTTTTTAAATTTAAATTTCAGACTGAAAATCTGAGTAACGGGGACTTTCTATTAGATAAGCATATTATTGTAGATGCAAGCGGTGCATAAATCGGAACAGTGTAAGCGTTCAAGCAAACCGCTTCTGAAGATGCAAGCCACTCGTGCTTGCGAAACGTCAGGAAAAAATTCTACCTTTCTTCTTGAAGTTGCAAACAGCAATGATTTGAGTCCGAAGACGCTTTTCTCGCTTGTCTAGATATTTTCGAAAATCAGTCAAAAAAGACTAAAATTTCAAGAACGGGGAAAACAATAATCCCTTCTCTTCTGAAAATCGTTCGACTTAAATGTGGATATTTGCAAGTACACGCAGCTAAATCTTCACTACAGTCGCAATTTTAAGCGATTTTTTCCGATCTTTGGAGCCATGTWAAAAGGCCGTTCGTAAACTCTCACAACCGTATTATTGCGGTCGAAAACAGCATAAATCGTTWAAAACTGCTGCTATTTGAAAGAAAATAGTTGGAACTTTATCCAGTAAACAGTTCGCTTTTCAGGCATTTTCACAAAAACTTCCAAACATTCGACAAGAAAAAAATAATGCTCAACTAAATAGTGATTTTCAAACACTTGCAAAAAAATTGAAGCTTGCAGAATCGACAAACCGAAAGAAGAAAATGAGAAATCTGCACCCGTTAATTCATCAGGAAGTTTTACTGAATTTCGGTATTAAGCAACTGAACAAATAACCATTTTAAGCCCCGTTTGTTCACATGCTCATAGTTAATTCGGCTGTTCAATGCGTTCAATTGTTGGCACAAATACATTTAAATAAAGTATTATTTGGCGAGAAAATAACGTTCGTTTGGCACCGACTCTTCTGATTACACGTGTAGAGCAACAGAGTCCACTATTCGGTGAAAAGTTTAATTCGTGGGCTGCATTAGAGCGTGCTGGCAAAAACAATAATGAATAAATTGGGTAAAAAGACATTTTCTTCACATTGTGAAAAACCTCGTAACTAACTTGAAGTCAGTCATGGCAAGAAATGATTACGGGAAAACAAGCAGTTTGCTTTTTTTACAAACTTCTTTTTGGGTATTTGGGTATAACCTTTTCATTCCATTTATTCCAGGACTTTCAGGTCAAATTAAACGAGTAGGTAAAAAATTTAATATTGGGACTATCTTCAAAACTGAAAATACAATTAGAAGTAAAATTTCAGTAACAAAACCTCATGATATAATTGAAAATACAAAAAATGTAATTTACAAATTTCCTTGCGAATGCAATAAATTTTATATAGGAAAAACCTCAAGACCATTACACAAAAGACTCAAAGAACACCAATCATACATAAAAAACAGATAATATCATCAATCACACATTTGTCAACATGCATTTGATAATTGCCATAAAATTCAATGGAATAATTCCCCAATTTTAACAAAAGAACATTTCACAAGAAAACGTAAAATTAAAGAAAGCGCACTAATTTTACTAAATCAAAATAATTGTGCTGATTCATGTTCATTTAATTTAAGTCATACATGGTTACCTATGCTAAAATCTGAAGTAGACCAGAGAAACATACACCCAAATTAAATTTACACCAAAA